GAAATGTACAGTGCAACAAATTAAATTTCATGATTTTCTACAGTTCCTCTTCTCATGATGAGTCCCTGAAAAACCAAAACCTTATCAACATTTTGCATCACAAAATGTTTCCATGAAAAAGTGACTCATATAAGAAAATTTGTTCACATGAACATTATTTTGCCAAAAACTGCCCACAAGCTTGGCTTGGAATTTTGGAATTTTTCAGAAAACAAAGAAAATTAATACTTACATTTGCTTCTGTTTGTTTTAAAATTTGTGAAATTCAGGAAGAGCAGATAATGAACGTTTCAGGGTCACTTTCATTTAATTCTACTGTAATAAATTTTAAATTCACAATTTAACCCTAAAAGCTATAGGAAAATACACAATTTGAACAGTTTTCTGTGGTCTTGTCAAATGTCTTGAACGAATAGAATCATTTGCAATGCAGCCATGTACAAAACTTCCTTTTGCACTACAAACATTCTACATATTAAAAGGCACCCAAAAACCAATTAGTTTTCTGTGTTTACTGCAATGAATTTACTTCTGTGCTACATGAACTCAAGCAAGACAGTCACCCGGATATGAAAAAATTGCATGATGCATATCATCTTTGTCCACCTTTTCATTCGATACAAAGGGTGTTTCAAATGAATACTGGACTCGATTCTACAAGAACTAAGGTCCAATTTTGTTCAAATGTATTCGAGGGTGTATTTAATTTTGTATTTCTTGTAGCTTTTGATCAGTTGCATTCAGAAGTTCACGCCAAAATTTGCTGTCAAGTGATTGTTCAATATGTTGACTTGGCAAAAAAAGCGCAATTCAAATTAATAGCCTATTCTTATATACAGTACTTCAGAATTAATTGTCATGATTTCATGGGAATCTCAACACAGAAATTGTTCCTCAAAATTTGTTGAAATCCCTTTTAGGTTTAAAAACATCTTCAAGTGGACATGATAATGTTTAAGTCCCTTCGATATCCATGTCATTAAATGAACATTCAAACGAAACTGTAAATATAACATAGTCCTCCCAAACGGTGCCCTTTTATATCTACCTGATTTCAGAGGAGGTGCCAAAATTGTTTCAAACTCAGAGGTTCTCAACGCGGCTGCGCCAGAAAAAGTATTGAATTTTACTCAAGCTCGGCGAACCTTCACACATCAGGTTGAATGCCATTTGCATCTAGATTCAAGTTTTGTAAAACAAAACAACAACAACAAAGAAATCGCAGGTAGACTGTAGACCAAAAAGGACTCCGCCAGCGAAGACCTAAATATTCTGAGAGGCTCCGCCAAAGAAATTTTTTGCATCTAAGTAAGGATTGTTGTACATGCATCAGAAATGTTGACAAATTCTTGCAGTACTAACCTTTTATGGCTCTCCTCGAGCAAGTGTCGGTAAACAATGGAAATGACTGCATAGCAGAACCCGTACATGAACAGCTCTTTGTACACCAGCTTGTAGATGCTGCCTTTCCACTTGATCAGCAGTTTTCCGAACGCGCAAGACGACGCGGACGTCACCTTGCTCTGATAGGTCACCGTCATGGCTCGATATCTCACGCCGTCGAGATAGAAGGGTTAGATCGTATTCCAATATAATCCGGAAAACTACAGTGAGATGAAAGACCCCCGACGCGACGACCTGCTGCTGTCTAGCTGCTACGGAGACTGGGGTGGTGGTCACTGGGGCCGTTTGACTGGGGCCGTGACAGTTGTGCGGTAAAAATAGTGCGGAAAGACGGGCGCGCGCCCTAGCAAAAAAAAAAAAATGCACCCCTTGTTGCTCTTCTGGAATATATGGGCACCTCTTTCCAGGTTGTGTGTACACCTTCCTTGCCCCGTTGTGCGGGAACACACACGTGTTGCGGCGAACTTACGAAATTAGGGCGTGTTCCCGGCACCGAAAAAAATGAATAAAAAACAGAAACCAGAGACGTTTCTGTCAATCTTTTTTTTTCATTTTCAATAGCAGAAAAAGGTCCACACAGTCAACATCATATACAGTCAAAACTGTGTAAGTCACGCTTAAAGGTAGCGTGCGGCAAAGAAATTTGAGTTGGTAGTTAGGGAAACAAGCATTTGTGCAGGGGAAAGAAAGAATAAAAATGGATATTGTGATTTTTGTCTTTCTAGACTTTGAATCGCCAATTCGATGAGTTGACAGGATATGCTGAACTTGGAGGAAAGGGTTCATTTGCCCAATTAGTCTTTCACTTCCTATCAGGAGATTTAGAACACATCACCAAGTTACATTTTTATTGCTTTAATCTTTCCTCTGTCAATAATATAGCAGCCAAAAAGCCTCCAAAACATTTCAGTTATGAAGGTATGACCGTTTGAAGAGAAAGCCTTCGAATTCGGGGGGGTTATAATTCAATTTCTCTAAGGGACTCAAACTGGGACTTTAGAAAATTTTGGCATATATTCAGGGAGGTTTATCTTCAGGGAGGACCGATTTATCGAGGGTCAATGGTATACGTGATGGATGTAACTTCAAATTTTCGTTCCGATTTTGTCGGAGCACGTGTACGGGTGGAGTATAGATTTATAATTCCAGCTCTTTTTATAGATCTTTCTTGGCTTTTTTTCGAAAATGCCAAAGGTGTTCGAATCAGCGATAGTTTTATGCTTTCAAATATGTAAAGATATTCTATATGCATGAGAGCAACAGTAATTTTAAAGTGGCAAAAAGCGTGGGTCATGCTGGCTTCAAATAACCAATAACGACGAACATTGCGCTGAAAAACTTGCAAATGCTCTACAAATAGTCGTCATTTTGACCTTTCCAAACGTTGGGGACGATTTTTCCGAAAAGTNTTTTATAGATCTTTCTTGGCTTTTTTTCGAAAATGCCAAAGGTGTTCGAATCAGCGATAGTTTTATGCTTTCAAATATGTAAAGATATTCTATATGCATGAGAGCAACAGTAATTTTAAAGTGGCAAAAAGCTTGGGTCATGCTGGCTTCAAATAACCAATAACGACGAACATTGCGCTGAAAAACTTGCAAATGCTCTACAAATAGTCGTCATTTTGACCTTTCCAAACGTTGGGGACGATTTTTCCGAAAAGTAAATCAGAAAAAAAATCGATTCTTCGAATAAGTCCAGAAATTTAAATTGCCGGCTCACGAGAAAAAAAAATCAGCTCTGATCACTTTCCTCACATTTCCTGTCATGCTAGTAGTTTGTGTTAATTTATACTTTTGCCTTACTTTGAAAATGTATGAATGCCATAGAAAATCCATTTTCTCGTCATAGCTGATCCTATCACTTCTTCGATTTCGTTCACAAGTGGTCCGCGCAAAAAATATCATATCTCACAGCCACAACATTCCGAACGAATATCGAATCGAATTTTAAAAATTTCCATCTGAAAATAACACGAGGCCTCAGAAAAACAATTGACCCATTTTGTAAAAAAGGATATACAGCATATACAGCATATCAAATACCAAATTCAGGGGAACTGAGAAGAGCACAATTTTTTAAGATTCACGCATACAAGAATAGATATATTTGAACTTAATTTCTGCACTTGAAACTGAAAGAGATTAAGGAATAAGCACATATTCCGAGTGGCGTAGAATAAAATACCCTGCTCACTCGTATGTCTGTCTCTCTCTCCTCAGTCGCAAAACTCAGTCTCAAAACTGGGCTCTAAGAAGAGGTTCTCCTGAGCTCCGAAAAAATTTCTTCTTGCAATCCCGCCCAGAATGATTGGCAGGCGACGGATATGCTCCTCAGGACACTGAGGGAACAAAGGAATATATTTTAATCTTCGCCACGTGTTATAGGTCGCTTCTCGACGTTCGAAAGGTGCCATTGAACTCTAACAATTCTTCACACACACACACAAATCTTCAGGATTTTTTCGTTTGAAAAAGAGATACCAGTCTTGTTCGATAAGGTACATGGATTCTGCATAAGAATGCAAAGGAACTTTTTTGGCAGATTTCGAAGTTAACGAACGAATGTTGTGCTTGAAGAGAAATTCCGGTGTGAAAAATTCGGAAGTAACCCCAGCACACGTTTGAAGTTTATTAATCTAAGAGTGTAAAATGATGGCTTTTTCTTCAACTTCTCGTCCGCATTTTTAAAATAGTCACAGAAAAGTATACTGTATACTGAACGACTGATAAACTCGACAAGAAGCCCCCAGCAGGCGTGGAAAATAATTGAATCGGGATTCCATACTTTGTACAACTGACGAATACCGAATTTATACTAAAATACTGTCGTTTCGAATAATTTTTCAAGGAATTTCAAAAATTACATGTAGGCAGACTCTCTCTACAACGATTTTGTCAAAATCATTTTTCTGTGTATAACGATTTTTGCGTACCATCGTCACATGCAGAGTTTTCTTTCCAAATTATGGGGGTTAACTACGTCAAAATTGTCCTTACAATTAATTTTTCTGGTCTTCTGAATTTCGTTCATCCATTACAGGAAATAACAAGATAAAATGACAAGTGGACGGCAATAAATTAAGCTTCTTTAATACGTACTTCTGACGCTCTGCCTTTGTCGCAACTACAGCAGTGTGTGTATATTTCTCATCCGATTTCGAAAAATCTGAAGTTCCTTCCTGAAATCCGCGTGATTTTTCCGCCGAGATTTGCACATCAGAAGATATTTCAGCGCGAGAAATCGGCTCTATTCCTTTACCAGCACCAGCAACGAACTCGTCGTAATGTGACTGGATTTCGGCGTCAGTTACGTGAGCCCCGGTGCACATGAATGCAAGGAACCTGAATTGATATATTGAGGGTGAATATTAAATCTTTCTTCGTGAATTGATTTTTGAAAATCCATATTTATATACAGTAGTTGGACCTGTCTTTTTCTTCGAGTCGTGACAGGATTTGCCACCATGCGACACCTGGTGCGGAACAGGATAAACGGAGTTTCTCCAAGCCTTCCTTCGTTTCCTGCATACCGCTCAATATAAATTCCTCGTCGGAAAGTCGGTCCTGGGATTGATGAGAACGCATTCGCCTGATGGAAAATGATAACTTAAATTATATAAAGATTATTTTATTCAAATTTGGCTATAATTAAATTTACCAGCGACGGGTGAACCAACACAGCAAATTTGCAATCCGAGGATAGACAACGTGCTTCATTGCGAGCAACCCGGCGTCCAGGGCAAAGGCAAATTTTTTCAATGTGATTGAGAAGAAGATTGAGAAAAGTCCAAGTACCTAAGATCACACAAACAATCAACCTTTCACTTAGAAACTTCAATCTCACTTTTCAAGGAAAATTACAGATTTATGGAATGTTCGGGAAACTTTTCCCGTTTTCCTCGGGTCAGCGTTTTGGAATTTCTGTTCCGAAGGTTTCTTCCCGAGAGAAGTAGGCTATAGACAAAGTTCCGCAATCTCAGGGCAAGATATATTTCATTTTTGTGGATGATGAATGGATGGCTCACACGCAATTCAAAAATTTTTTAATCATCTGTTATTGAACGATTTTCTTCGACGACTTGAGGGGATATCATTGGCATTCCCGCAGAATTGTGCGCAGCAAAAACATTTCCCAGATGCCCTGCCGAATTTTTCTTCTAAATTCCGTTTTTGTTATCAATTTTTGCTCATCTTATTACTTATCAGGAGATTATGTTTTCTTAGTTTAAAAAAAAATTATAAGGCTGACGTTTATGATCTCGAAGCTGATTCTTAAAAATGTAAATAAATGAAAGTCGATCCGGGAGAAATTAAACCAGTTTTTAAAAAATCCAGATTATCCGTTCTATTAACGATTGCGCCCGAATTCGGAATCATATCTCGAATAATCCAGGTTCTACTCATCAGCTGTGCCTAAATTCAGCAAATGCACAAAACGAGTTCGTCTGCTGGGCTACAATTTTCAAACATATTTTTGGCAGAAAAAAAAGACCGGCCCAAGGCATTTAACATCAAGCGTAGTTTTTGTTTCAGGACCCCTCAGTGATACGCAACAGTTCAGGTCAGCATTTTGAATTTTTACTTTCCAATTTTTTTTCTTTATTATTTTCGAAGGGAAGCAGACCGGAAGCCTAATTGAATCCGCGTTGCTTCCGTCTGAGTTCGTGCTTTTTCCGCCCGGAACTGGGGCCCAGGGCTCGAGGAAAAGCAGACCCTCTTGACTGTGGGGTTCGCTTCTCCCGTGGGGAATATACGACTTTTTTTTTTTTTTGCTCTTCTCTTCCTTCGCCTTGATCTTTTTTCGCGTTTGAGAGAGAAAGAAAGCAGAAGCTGAAAATAATCGCGTTTAGACCTGGAGTGCCCAGAGAAAGGCGGTCCGCACGCGAGGGTCCCCGTGAGGTTTCTTGTATCTGATCAAACCCACAGTCGCTGCGGTTGTGGCAAGGATGTAAAGAACTATTGAAGGATTCTTGAGCAATTCGAATCCTCGGCTTGCCGTCGTTTTCAACATTGCTGTTGTCACAACCAGTCCGCAGAACAACACGCTCATGCCAGCAATCAGCTGCCACCAAAAATGATTTCTCTTATTACTGGGTATTTAAACATTTTTTTCTTATGCATGGCCAAATACTGTACAATACTGTACTTCTTGCCGATACCCAGATGGTCAAAATCGTTTTGGCTCGGTTATACATCACTCGCATGCAGCCATTAAATTTTCAGTTTTTTTTTACATGAAAATATGTCACATAAAGTTTTTGCATCAACTATGCAGCAGACTTCCATGCAAAAAATGTTCGCTATCATATAAAAAAATACATCCTTAGAGGCAAACGGAAACTGGTGGTCTATACTAGCAGGAAGATCCGTCATCTAAGCAAAATCCCCGCAAACACATACAAATTATCAAAATTATTATTAGCGTGCAGGGTATGGCACGAGGATATCCTTTTTTGAAAACCATGCATACGTTACATTCTTTATGTGATAAAACTGGAAAATTTTCGACTATAAATCAAACTTCCACTCGAATATTACCGTATTCGTCAAAAGTTTCGAACAGGAAAATGTTACCTGCTTGAAACTTTCTCATTTGATTGTTATGAGCTCAACTTTGACGATTTTTGTGGTCTTATGACGGTATTCTTTCTCCCATAAAACATTATTAACCAGTGATTCGATTTCATCAATTTTATAATTCACTCTGGTGAAATCAATTTTGCTGATGATTCCATGTTGGCTGGAAAATAAAAGCGAATATTGTACAGTTAGACTCTCTTGACAAAAAATCCTGCCTATAAACATCGATTTTCTCTGCACAACGAATTACGTTTTTTGGTCCCATCGTCGGGGTTTCTATCCAGCTCAAAGAGCTTCTCCACAACGAAATTCAGGGGACCAAGAAAAATTCATCAGAGAGATTATTTTTTTCCTGGTATACAATGAATGACGATTAATTTATCATTCATCTTGGGGTATTTTTCCTGGTCCCCTGAACTTCGTTGTACAGCGGAGTCCACCTGTACAGTGTTTAAAACCAGACTCGCCTCGAGATATACTGGATAATGGACCGAAGTTGGTGAATGAGAAACATATTTTTATCCATCATTTGTGCCCCCTTATACTGTACTGTGCTCACAAAATTAAAATTCTCAACAACCTTCAACCCAGAATCAGGGAATAAAAGACCCGAAAGTTACGAAAAAAAAAAAACTCACGGGCATCATGCGGCTGATGAAGAATGCAGCCAGCAGAGCTGACCCCAGACATGCGAACATCGATCCGAGAACGCAGTTACAAAATAGCGACGTGGCTATTGATTCTGCGCCAAAGAAACAGACGATTCCAGCGAGGAAAAGCATCAGCCTTTCTGGATCAATGTCTGTAAATTATGGCGGAACTTCAGCTAAACTCGGATTCGTGTTTCTTCTTTTTCTTTTTTCCTGCTGAATACAGAAGCAGTTTTGCAGAACGCTGGATATACAGTAGATATATCATCCGAACGTTTCGCGTCATTTTTTTTTGTCACAACAAGATCAACCGTTTGGTCGGAAAAGTCGCGCGAAAAAAAACTCAGCCACTAAAAATCGTCCGACAACCAAAAATTAATAAAATAAAAACTCTTATAGAAACCACATTGATGTTTTTGTGAATTTCTGAATCATAGGACGACTCGAGGCGATTTCTGGAACTCATTTTTCAAAGGTGTATTACCATAAAAGACGGAATCACAAGAACTACAGTATAAATAGATTTTTCTCTGCGCGCTGGATAAATTTATAACGAGGACGTTTTCCAAAATATTAATGCTCATCTTCCGAGATTTTCAGGAACCTAATTTTTATTTATTTGAGCTTTCAATGTGATACATTTGTTTCATGAATCTAATTTACTTTGAAATTGGGAGGGGGGGCTGAATGTTGAGCAACTCCAATAACCCATTCCCTTTCAAAAAATCCGTTTGGACCTGCATGAAAATATTTTTCATAAGTTTCTAGAACAAGTGTCTGTACAGTTAATAGAATATATTTCAAGTACAGTACAAATAACTTAACGTAATAACTGAATAAAATATCCCATTTTAATTAAGGTGGACTCACTCTCTCTCTCTCTTTCTCTACAATGAATTTTAAAGGACCAGAAAAACTTTGTTGTAAAGAACCCTAGAAACATGTTGTGAGAACCCTATGCCCATATGGGCCACACAAAAAATCGATGTACAACAGCAAATATCATTGCTGACGATCTTGTTGTACGTAGAGAGAGTCCACCTGTATACTTGTATATTGTGAGTTCCCCGTGCAGGTGAACTAATCCCCCTTCCTGGCAAACTTTGATCCACAATCAATGTGGAAATTCGAGCACATAATAAGCATGGGTGAATTGCCATTTGATTATTTAGCCCGCTGCTGAAACTTGATAGTTCCTGTGGTGGAAGAGGGAATAACCCGGGTGTTCAAAAGTGGCCATTCCGCATGCATGAGCCCTTTACAAAGTCATAAATGCGAGGGAGTGAAGAAGCGTGGGTGGCTCATAAACAGTGAGCAAGAAGGAATGCATTTCTGTGATGCACCCAAAGCTATACTGTACTCTGCTTTTCCTCCTCAAGGGGCATAACTCCCACGGCTTTTTCCCTCCTCTTCCCTTTCACATGTATATTACTAAGGTTAGATTGCAAGGGTTTAAATGGAAAGTTTCTCTTGAAGTTTTGATTATACGGTAGTTTTGATTATGCAGCACAGTAAAATTCCATTATAATGAATCTTGTCACCACTGATTTTTCATGACAACCAGTTTTTGAATGGGTGTTCGTCATATGTTTGTAAAGGTATCATGTTTCAAAGATATCATTTCAACAAGCTTGTTGCCATTTTTAATGTTAGTAACAATTTTTTTTGCCTTGAATATGCACATGTGCCGCAAGTGTTTTTAATAATCAGCACAAAAATCGGAGGACAACCTTGTGCAGAATTGAAAATTCATTAAAAATTATAAAGTGCAAATCATTACACGTGAAATTTAGTTTTGTTAAAAGAATGAAGTCAAATGTTCTTTTCATAAATTCTCAGCTATGGTTCAGGTACATGTTTAAAAGTCTGCCCCAGCATCATAAGATTCTCCTCCAATGCGAACGTTCTAATGAATTTCTATTCAAGTTGAAGCTTGATAACTCTAACCTCCCTATAAGTCAAATACTGGGCTTCCCTATGACAAATTTTTTTCAAGTCCTTGTCAGAGTCCCTTTGAAACAAGCCATTAAAATATCCCAATTCCAAGGCTTTCTCCCTCAAACATCATATATTGCTGGGTTGTTTATGGAGGCCATTAGGCTATTATTTACAGTAATTCAAACAGGAAAGATAAAAGCAATCAAAATATATGTTATTGCATTTTGATTTTTTAAAGGAAGTAAAGACTAAAGAGGGGCAAATGAAAAACTGCATCCAAGTTCAACATCCTTTTAATTCAATCAACAAGCAACTTAAGGCTCAGAATATTACCAATTGCAATTCCCTGTAAATCTTCTTTCTATATCCCCCCCCCCCTTCCCAAAAAAAAATCCTCATTCCCCTAACTCAAAAACCTAGCTCCCCAACTCAAATATGTTGCTTATCCCTTGAAGTTTGACTTGAAGAGTTCAAGCTGTATTTCACCAAAAATAGTTGAAAAGGGGGACCATTAATAATACAGTACTGTATATATGTCATAGAAGTTCCCCACAAAATGATAGTGCTGTACTCTGTACTAATGATCTAAAAAAAACATGAATCTCAGTTCAACTACTATTAAACCTTTATGAAAAATTTAAACAGATCTCTGGGAGTTTTTTATAATAAGATTTTCCTAGATATCTGGCTTCTCCTGGTGATTTTGGAAAATGTTCAAGTGTTTAATACTGTATTTACTCAAGTACCACATGCACCTTTTTTCTTGAATTTCAGAAGAAAAAAAGGGGTGCGCGTCATAAGCTGGTACAAATTTTTCAAGAATTTTTTGGAATTTATGTGTGCTTTATACTTAATTATAATGGAGAAATTTCAAACAAATGTAACAAGAAAACTTTTTTGCACTGAAACAGTTCAAAATTGATCAGATTCTTGTTCAATTCATGTCTAAATTCATTTTTTTGTTTTTATTTTTGAACTTTATTGGTTGTAGATTCACTACAAATTGGGGTGCGCGTCTTACTCAAAGATAAGATTTTAGCAAATTTCCGACTGAAAAACCCCTGTGCACGCCTTATTTAAGGGCGCGTGGTACTTGAGTAAATACAGTATACTTGATTCTACTGCAAATTTTGGATCAATTTCAACATGAAGGCTTATTTTAATGGAAACATTGGAAAATTAATTGAATTGAGGCCCAATTTGTGTCTTTATTCAAATTTAGATTTAATCTTTTTTGAAACACTACATTTTTAGAGTTATAGTACTAATTAAGGAGTGTGCATCTTACGTGGGGGTAAAATATTATCAAAAATTTAGGATTGAAAACTCCTGGTGCGTGCTTGTCTCACTTTCGGGCACATGGTACTCCAGTCAATGCCATATTTCACAGTCAGTCGGATTCCAAGTGCGATGAATGACTCACTATGGCTGCGCAGAGCAATGATGTAGTCCTGGTCGGATAAAACGCCGAGACAAGTGTTCTGGAACGGGGAAAGGGAGAACTTGGGTCCTTGCGATGCCCGCGAACGAAATTCGAAGCCCCATCGGAGCAGGGACTTGGTGTAGGCGGACAGCACTTCCTGCTCATTGGATCCCGGGAACACATCGAATTCCCCGGGCTCGAGTGACACGCGAACCTGCGACAGATTATTCGCGGATATGCTCAGCATATATAGCCTAGCGGAGCTTTGCTGCTTCTTTAGCACAGAAGGACGACAGCGATAAACATTTGCTCAGCAGGAGCAGAATGTTTTCCTGCGATTTCCTGAGTCTCGAGAAGACGACGCCTCGACGCGAGTTTTCACTGCATTTTCCAGTTTGAAATGCAGTTTACGAGAATATATGCACGTACGTTTAAACGCGAAAACTCATGAGAAAAAAACTTACGAGGGCCCTGAAAAATTGGCGTCAGAATGAAAATGCTTCAAAATGGGATTAAAGATTCGGAATTATTTTCTGTGATCAGGAATCAATTTCTTTGTATCAAAATCAGCCACATTTATTGTACCAGAATAATATCAAGCAAGATACGGAAGTTCTCCAGCGGATATACCTATAGTATATATCAATAAATGTGTCACAAAAGAGGCAAAAAAGTGCCCTTCGTGGAGAATAAGGTACACCTGAATTGATTGTTAAACTAATTTATAATTTTAAGTTCGGTTTTATGAATGATCTTCTCGAAATAGGATAAAAATTGGTAGCGAAACTCTGATTCTGATAATTGTGAAGGAAACACTGGAGAACAAATCAGAAGTGCATTTCCTATTTCTGTATTACTGTAAATATTTTCACTGACGTATGTTTTACCACTGGTATAAAGTACTGTACATGTTACACATCGACATTCGTTCAGTATCATGTTCCAGAATCGAGATGATGCTTCTGTCAGGACTTCTACGAGTTTTCTTCTACAGTAGTCATGAAAAATTATAGTCTGAACGGGTATGAAAAAATTTTGGGAATTTTTGGAAGTCTACACGCCTATAAAGCGCAGGGAAACTAATGATTCAAGTTAAGTCATCATGTTGTCTCTTTTCCCGATTAATTCCCTAAATATAAATACAGGAAAATATTTTACTATATGTTTAAATTAGAGTTCAATTGCTGGTAATACTAAAAATCATATCATAATTTAAGTTTAAAGCAATCCTGTTTACTTGGACAGTATAAGTTAGTGACCCTCTCAGTCAATTTAACAGGATAAAATTTAGACCATAAACTTTTATTATATTCCTCATAAGTAAAGTAACTTTATCAGTTTTCAAGATTTTTAATCCTAAATTTCCATTTCTTCATCGATTTCTTAGTAGTGCTTTGCCACGAAGAAAAAACTATTGACGAGGAATAAAAGCTGTTGAACTACTGTATCTGTAAGACCATGCTAAAGCAGATATTTAATGCATCAGGTATTCTATAGCGCGCACCTGATGAAGAATTCAGGCCCATTTTTGTTTGATTAAATCCAGTTCATGAAATGTTTCGAAAAATGTACTCAAAAGCGAATGGCTTCTGACAACAAATTCAGATGATTTCAACTGCTCCCAGCAGATTTTTGTCATGAGGTCATGTTTATTTTAGCGAGTACAATACTGTACGATGTTTCGTTCTCGTTTTGTTTTCAATCTTTGTTTTTCGTGCTTGAGTCTCACCCATCTTAAATTGTGATTCATGTTCTCCTTAAAACAAGATGAAAATGATTCACCGTCGTAGTGATACATACTATTTTGCATTTTGGACCAAGAAAGCATGCTGCTGCAGTTTGTCCACCAAATGTTTGCATGTTATTTACAAAAAATTGAAAGAGCGTTGATCACATTTATTTGAAATTCGTCGGTCTGGGATTGGAGACGATCAGACGATCCAATCTCACACCGAGTTACATCCATGATTCAGCTACGAAAAAGGCTCATAATTTCTCATCATTTTCTTCGCCCGGATACATACTAAAATCAGGCTGCCGCAGCTGTATTAGGAGCTGATGAAGGAATACGTAAACAAAATAATTTATTTTATAACAGGGGGGCGTTCAAACAACTCCTACAGAAGAGACGATGACTGCACTCTAACTTCTAACAAAGTACTGTACCTTGACAGAGGAGAAGAGAGTTCCGGGAAAATTTCGCTGGAGGCCGGGGAAGCAAAAAATTCCCAACTTTCCATCAACTTTCGGAGCCACCTGGATCGGAACATGCGAACGGAGTATCCGGCCTGTATATGATGAATCAGTAAAAATCACATTCATCGTGTTCATTTTTCACTCAGCAAAGTGATAGAGGAATTACCTCGAATGGAGGAAGATTCCTCTGCTTGACCAGCAACCAGGATCAAAGGAACAAGAAACCAAGCGCCGTTGAAAATGAAATCGTAGCTCATCATGAAAGACCTTCATTCGGCAACACTTCGGCTATGCGACTAGCGTATTTTGACATTTTTCACGTGATTTTTCGAAGTTTCCAGCCTCGCAATCGAAAACCCTATGCCTCCTAGGATAAGTGGGGAATAATTTGTTACGGGCCTCATTAGGATTGTGCTCAGTATCCTTTTTTGATAACCATGACTTCATCCACGGATGAAACCCAGAGAAATCCGCGGAGACAGAAGGAGATACTGTACAACAATTACGGTGAAATGTTTGAACATCATCAATTCCAAATAATAATCTGTATTTTGCATACACTAATGTCCAGGGCCAGATTAAGGTGGGTGCTATTGATGCTGCAGCATTAGGCCCACCAGGCAAATAGGCCCCTTGAGAATTTGAAATTTTTTTTTTAATTCCCCAGCTTGGGGAATTTCAAATTAAAAATTCCCAAGCTAGGGAACTAAAACTTTTTAAAATTATGAAAATTCAGAAAAGCAGAAAAGATACCAAAGTGTTCATGATTTAAAAAATCAGGAAACAATAAATAAATTCCAACACACTNATTTGATCCGGACAAACAGACAGACAGACAAGAAAGTGAGTTCATAAAAACCTGGTAATAATTACCTGGAATGGAGGAAGATTCCTCTGCTTGACCAGCAACCAGGATCAAAGGAACAAGAAACCAAGCGCCGTTGAAAATGAAATCGTAGCTCATCATGAAAAACCTTCATTCGGCAACACTTCGGCTATGCGACTAGCGTATTTTGACATTTTCCCCGTGATTTTTCGAAGTTTCCAGCCTCGCAATCGAAAACCCTATGCCTCCTAGGATAAATGGGGAATAATTTGTTACGGGCCTCATTAGAATTGTGCTCAGTATCCTTTTTTGATAACCATGACTTCATCCACGGATGAAACCCAGAGAAATCCGCGGAGACAGAAGGAGATAAAAGAATTACGGTGAAATGTTTGAACATCATCAATTCCGAATAATAATCTGTATTTCGCATACACTAATGTCGATCTATATAGTTCGCGAAGTGCAATAACTACAGGTATGCCCGTCGCATTTTTCGTTTGACATGAGGTTATGCGTTTACAGTACAATACTGTACTTCGGCTCTATGATTCTACGATAGAGCTGTCGATTTCGAAGATCGAGTTCAGAAATCGAAGCGTTGATTTCATAGACCCAGTCCTGATCCCAAACGCCCGCTCTGCTACGATATTTAGCCATCTTATCGAAAAGCAAGGTACTAAAGAATATACTGTACACATTTATGCGTCGGTCACACATACAGTATATGGGTGCAATCACTGCCGGGGTCACCTTCCCGCGGAAACACCTGCTGTGTAGCGCTGTTTGAAACACGTTTCCCGCTTTCTTTCTTCAAATAATTTTTTAGGGTTTCAGACCGGAATAAATTGAATTTAACCTTAATATCATTAATATGTTAATAAATCCATGATATATGGGCGTTATTTTGTTATTAAGCCTTTGACTTTTTTACTAATGCATACTCATCACAATGTAAGACAAAAGCGCTGAACCATATCTGTAATGCTTTGCAATAATAATCCGCAGAAAATTTCAAAACTGCGCGGCATTCTTGACATAAACGGACATTTTCTTCCTCACTGGGATAGGGATCGAGATATGCTGAGACTTTTGACCCCATTTCAGGGTTACATGGCAATGTGGCCTATATCTCATCCTGGCAAATTTGGCACATGCTGATGAGGAAATGAGAGTCAAAGTTGCTAAAGTACAGTACAATATGTGTAATTTAAAATAATTTGCTTCGCGCGTTGAAACTCTCCTTGAAATTATCTTTTGAAGTTGCGTCATCCTCTGACCAAAATCAATGACGCATCGTGTTGGCAGCAGAAAGCAAAGAAAAACGGCACAAGGAGGATTCGGAACTTCTAGAACATGGAAACGTCGCTGATCTGAGCCAAATCCGTGGTCTGGGTAGCAAAAAGTTTGGCACAAAAGGAGTGAAAACGGAATTTGGTGACCAAATTCAGCACCCAAGGGCCCTCGCTAGCTGTCAATTATGAGCTAGCAGCGAAGTCTTGGACTCTCAAATTATTTGCTGGGTAGAAGCAAACATACAATTGCAGTAAAGGTTGTTCCATGCTCTGTATTGCAAAGGGACAATTCAGAAGAGAACTCGTGAGACCCCTGCGGTCATAAGGTATGGAAAATAAAGAATTTTTTGATAATTTTTGGAGCAAATGCAGTTATGCAGCTCAGACAAGAGAACCCTAAGTTATTCAAAGTATGCAGAAAATTCCTGCATCATTCCATACAAAACAAATGGTACCATACATTCCATATATACAGTGAATTATAATTCTCTGGCAACGAGAATACTTCATACACCATCATTCTCCGCACAGAAATACTGGAAATTTTTGAAGTCACTCATAACCGGCGTTGAAGGATGGTGTGGCGTTAGAAGAGGATAGACCGGCAAGCTAACAGCGCCCAAAGAAACGGCGCTCAAACCAGCAGCGACATGTGAAATCGACCTAAGTCTTCCGTCCACCCTCCTTGTTATCACAATACTACAAACTATCTTGTTGAAGGGAACCCTGGCTTCCTGGGGTTGGGGATTTTTGCGGGAGAGCTTGGGACATTTGGCTTCCACCTGTTGTTCAGCTTTTCTATAGGTACGTTAAAAGAATGTGGTTGTGGTGATTTACACCCTCAGTGGTCTCTCGACAAGGATGTCTTGGGAAGTTCGGTTCGATTTGAAGAGGTTCGCCCTTTTTTCTGTTGCCCTGTTGCTTCCTTTGCCTTCCCCCTTGAACCGGGTGGCCGGATCTCTTGTTTCCTGGGAGATAGGTTTCCTTGTGACCATCTGGCTTCCCCGGGTTATTGTAATGAGCCGGGTTGTCGATGGCCCTGGTTCTAGATTTGGCGAGGTTGTTGTTTCGGCCGAAGAAGGGTTGTTGATTATTTCGATGGAGTTTCAGTGAGATTGAATTGGGAAGGTTTTTAAATTCGGAAGGATCGTGAAATGCCTAAATTTCTGTTCATGTTCCGCTTCTTTTCCACGCGTAGTGTCAGAAAATGTCAGCTGTTAGGGATGCAGAACCTCACAGTTACGTCGGTGACTTTTTTCAAGACGTTTTGTGGAAGGAAGCAACCGAAGCGTTTAAAGGCCGGAGACAGTCGGACGTGTCGAAAGGCAAGTTGAGGAACTTTCTATTGAACGCCCGATACCGTACTAATGGTAAGGGGTTTCATAGGACGCATAGGATCGTTTCCCGATCCATTCCCTGTGGTCGTCGTTGAAGATTTCTTGTCGGATTCAACTTTTATGCAAGAATTGCGTGATCATCTTCTGGAAAGGGAAGATCTATTCAGTCCTCGAAACAACGATCTATTCCAGTTCATGCAAACGCCAAATTTGTTGAAGTCGGAGGAACGAAGCGTGCCGTGCATCCGGGATGACGGGGAATCAACCGGAGGAGCACCGAGTGTGAGAAATCCCGTAAACATTTTTGGGGATATTTTGAGGGCTGTAATCAAACCAGTGTTGGAACGTGTATCTGGGATTGACTTATCCGATGATATTTTCATGAGTTCATCCATCTACACGCATACGGGTGAGTGCATGCAGCGAAGTTTTTGTCAATATTGCATGCATGCTCAGATTCACCATCGTAGATACTCTGCTATGCCATGACGACGATCTGGAAGAACGAAGACTTGCATTCATTTATTACTTAACGCCTCCAGAATGGACCGAGGAAGATGGAGGGCAATTAGATCTCTTCGAATGTACTGGTTAGCGTTTGAATTAATGTAATTTTCGATTTTTTGAGATACAGTATTTACTCATACTGTAATACGTATTGTTTCAGATGAAGCCAGCCCTGGGAAAGTTGTGAGATCCTTCCTGCCTAAAAGAAACACGTTCCTTTTCTTCCACGTTTCGTATCGTTCTTTTCATCAGGTGCCGAAAAGAAAGACAAATATCTTGTCGGATTAGTTTCGATACGTTTATTTCTGCGTTTAGGTTCGAGAAATTTTGACGAAAACCAAAGTGCGGCTCTCCTTGAACGGTTGGTTCAATGGTGCACCTTTAAAAAGACCACCGCATCCGATCGATGCATTACCGTCTTTTGTTCACCCTGGAAATCTCTTGGATGAGTTTTTCGAATGGATAAATCCGACTTATCTAGATCCTGAAACAATCGCAAGCATCCAGGAAAATTTCGAGGAAACTTCCGAAATCCAATTAGTGCAATTCTTTAATGCGGGCGTGTACGACGAGCTCTGTTCAGCGTTTTTAGCAGCTGCTGATGAAGACTGGCTTGAAAGAGGACCTGCGAACAGGAGAAAATTCCGTAATTGGAATCGCTCTGATGTAGATGACGGTATCATTGGGAAACTTCAAGTGTTCTTCCATTCCGAAGCATTTTTCTTGCTCTTGTCCCAAGTTCGTTTCCAATTTTTTATCGTCCTTTAACTCCCTGAAATGGCAATCTATTATTTTCTAGTTGACTGGGCTACAGTTGCATAGAAAAACTGAAGAAGACTCAGCCCCAAGTTCGTCAAAGAAGATCAAAGTAGAAAAAGAATCGTGTGGTACGTATAGCATTCATTTTTTCGCGGTGAATTTGATGAGATTAGCTCAATATTCCGAATTGTAGATCCTGGATGTTTCCTGGAAATTCGAGAAATGGAACACGGAAGCTATAGCTTGTGCTCAGATGAGGATCCCGTTATGAGTTTAAATACACTGGAGGCATCTGTGTTTTTCAACTCTCCCGCTTCGACTGAAGATGATGATGGTGATGAGGATGAACCATACGATGGTCCGGGGGGCTTTCTTTCGTATGTTCCTCGGTTCGAGACAAATGAGGTGAGTTTAGGCAGTGGATTTCCTCATTTATATTAGAAATATTTTCCCAGACTAATGCTTTTCGTTGTGAATACTATTTTTATTGCTTAGTTCACAGATTTGAAGCACAGTAATTTTTTATAGTACTGTAGTTTTACTACAGCTGCTTCTAAGGTGCTTCTAAAAATGGGCGGAAATCGTTCGCGATTTTTTCAGTAAAAGCCCTAAAAAAATTTATTTTTAGCACTGTACGGTAGTATTTCAGCGTCATTTAATTTCTTATTTTTTAGCGCCTGACTATTAATTTTCCAGTTGTTTAATGCACTCGAGTTTCGTTCGTGTAGATGCTGAGGATTTCCCCAGCTCGAAATACCTTGTCGCTGGTTTATCGCACATCCGACGTGCTAAGATTCACGAAGTATGTGAATTCAAAAATAATCGACATCATGGGACAAGGTGCCAAATTTCAACATGCAATCGGTCTCTACGTTGAAAAGAAACCAAACTGAGATGATTCATTGAGAAAGTGACGGAAGTTGTGTGAAATATTTTGGGTCACGAGTTACATTTTGCTGTGAAAGTCGATGCTTTCTTCCAGGCACAGCTTTTTTACACCTGCCTTTGTGTTGCCTTTTCTTTTCCCGTCGTGCGCGATGAGTGACGGAACAACAAATTATGCTGATGATATGGAGGCTCACTGCTCTGTGAGTATTGAATGAAAAATTTAACGGCCATACGTTTTTAACATTTCTTTTTCTGAAGGAGGTGCTCAAAAAGCCAAAGCTTTTATTCAAGCCGTGCAAAAGCTTCCCAAGCCAGATTCTGGGAGTATTACGCTGTTTTCCCGGATTTCGTGAAAACTCTCCATGTGGAATGCAATGTTCTACTTCCTACGTGAGTGGCTCGATAGCGCTGAGCGTAAATGAAGTGGTATAGAAATCTTTTACTTTTTATATTGTATTAGTTGAATGTTAGTTCTACAGGATTGATTTCAAAGCATTAACCTTTTTCAAATTTAGAGGATGAATATGCTCATGAGTCATCACAACTCTTGCTCTTCGGATATTCGTAGGCCACATGCAGATCTTGACAATTACGAAATTTCCACATTTGCGTCATCCAGAAACGCTTCGCGAAACCTTCTCAGGTAATTTTGAAACCCCGGTTATCTTTCGAAAAAATTTTCTTGCAGAATTTTACCACTGAAAATAGTTTTCGGTTTCGCCAGATTTCCATTGATACGGTAATCTCTTATTGTCTTCATTGTCAAGTTTTCGCATTTCTAAGACTTTTTTTTAACTTGAAGGCTTTTGAAAAGCGGAAACGCCAATCTGGGAACGAAGATAATGAGGTTCCGGAAGCTTTGAAAGATACTTAGTAAATTGATAATACGTCTCAACACGCCCGTACTATTTCATGCCACTTCGCTGAAATGTCGTTTGTCACTAGAAAAATCTCTTTGTGACCGATGGAATTCACCGCCGTGTCTCCTAGATGAAAACCCAGCGACTGGACAGTTGTTGGTAAATGAATCTTACACTGAATCACCAAGAACTGCGCATGTGAAGGAAGTGCAGAAAGAAACCAGGGAAGCGGTGGATATTGATCGACAGATGCCGAGACTTTTGACGCCGTTTCTGCGTTACATGGCAATCTTGCCTCTGCTCTTGACAATTTGGCGCATGTTGATGGGCAACTGAGAGTCAAAGTTGCTGAAGTACAGTATGTGTAATTTAAAATTAATTGTTTCGCGTGTTGACGCTCTCCTGGAAATTATCTTTTGAAGTTGCGTGATCGTCTGGCGAAAATCAACGACGCATCGTTGGCAGCAGAGAGCCAAGAAAAATGCATCGATGAGGATTGGGAGATTCTAGAACCTTAAAAGGTCGCTGATCTGAGCAAAATCTATGGTACGGGTAGCAGAAAGTTTGGTGCGAAAGGAGTGAAAACGGAATTTTGTGGCTCATCCTTGATATCTGAAGAACAAGGGACGGATCAAGTTGCCGTTGCTCGAGAAGAAACTGGTGTCAGAGTAAGTTTTTGTGGCAGATATTCTGTGGAAGTCTCAACAGCCTTGCCGACTGTCAATTCATGGACATTGTGGCAATAAATAACAGTCTATCAAATCGAAAGCAATGAAATCAACTAATCTAGCAGTTCAAATGACAATGTGCGAATGTCAAACTGAAATTTGAGATACCGTATTTACTCAAGTGCCACGCGCATTTCTTTCTGTGCCAAATCGATGCGAAAAAGGGGTTCGCCCGTGGTGTGCGGGTATACATTTTATTTGAAGCAAAAAATTATGAAATCTTTTGTGCGAGCCAGGAGTGATTCCTTTGGGGTGCAAAAAAGGAATAGGAAGTTCTGTTCAGCTCAAATCCAGGTTTAAATGCGCCACTTTTTCATTAATTCATGGGATTATTTCATTTGAAAAATTTTCGATTTTCAACCATGTATAGCTGGGGTGCGGGTTTTATCCGGGGATACATTTTTGTGCCAATTTGTGGTTCATAAAATAAGATTTCTCATCATACTTGAGGGCACGTGGTACTCGAGTAAATACGGTAGTTGGCCATTCCAAAATATATACAGTACAGTACAATAGTTTGTAATTCATTTATTATTAGAATTTAATGACGATCTCTGTGTGAAAATTTTCAGATTCGTTTGCGACGAGGGAAAAAGCGGAAGAGTTATGTGAAAACCAAAGGTGTGGAAGCTACCGAGTTACAGACGTCTCCGGTCGTCGTTGGTCCGAGTGATGGATCAGAAGAAAGTGTTCCGCCTGCAAAGTCCCCGCGAATCGAGGAGTTCTCAGTGTTCGACGAGAATAAATCTCGTAATACGGATGGTGTCGTCTCTCAGCCGGTGCACCTGTTTGAGAAAGGAGAAAATGCTGGCAAAGAAGTCAAGCGCCGAGGTTTGCCGCCAGATCGCAGGCAGAAAACGTCAACGTATTCGATGCGCGGAATCGGAAATTAATTCGTTGGATCGTTCTGCGTTAATTTTTGTGATTGCATAAATCGTTCAACCCGTTGAATGATTTGGTTGCCACTGCGCTGGTATTATGGTTTTTATAGTATGAGGGTTGTCCCCTTTGGGCGCGGCCTTTCATATTTCTACAATAGGCGCGACTGTAAAAAATAAAATTTGATATGGCCAAAGTTCTGAGATTTTTTTCGGATGAAAAATTTCAGTTTCCTGCTTTATGGTCAGTAAAAACCTCCAGTTTCCTTAAGAGTTCTCCACCCATTTCGTGGATTTCTTGAAATTTGACAGCCCAGCTAAAAAATTGAAACTTTCCTGTTTTTTCAACCATCATCTGTTCTACGTCTTTTGAAATTTTCAATTTTTTCTGGGATTATTTTGTTCGCAACAAATAAAAAATAGTCACTATCTTTTCAATAGCCCGGAAGGAACTGGGAAGTTTTCACTTATCATGCAGTAACTTGAAAGTGATTTTTTTTTTTAATCTTGAAGATAATTCTTTTTGGCCATATTATGATTTTCTTCGACAGTCGCGCCCACTCCCGAAATATCCAAGGTTGCAACCAAGCGGAAAAACCCTTGTACATGTTTGAAGAACACTGTACATTTCGGCATTCCTTTTTTTTTCGACAGGATGACGAGTGTCCCGTTTTTTTCTCCTTGGGATGGACGTTTTCACTGTCCAGAATCCGTCCTCCTGAACTGTTTTGAGTGAGAAAAATTACAATGGTGTCGGTGCAAGTCGATTTTTGTCGCGAATGGCATCGCGATTCTTCTCTTCCGGACCTTTTGTCTACCTGCATGGCCAGGATGTTCGTTGTCCTCGTGTTTTGTACTGCCTGTGCAGCTCTTGTGCTGTCAGACGCGAAGGTACTTGCTGACGAGAGCGAACAGGTCGAAGCGGCCGAAGGAGTGGGCCCTTTGATGGAAAAAGCATTGGTGTACCATGGTGAGCAGACTTCTGCCGTGTTGAATAGGACCTGCGGGTGAACTTCGGAATTGCTCTCTAATAGAGGCAATGTGAGTGTGAATACCTGAGGTCTCTCGGGGCAAAGATTTCCGGATTAGCGACGACGAAAGATTTTCTACGTTAGATTCCGCATCCCAAATATCGGGCGATAACCGACATTTTCATATTTATGAAGAAATTTGAAGTTTTGAACTGGCGATTTTTTCGGCAATACGTTCGTCATTTGCGCATCGAGCGCACGTGAGGCATTCACCTCAGAAATGCAGACTGCTTGAACGTCAAACCGGATGAGCAACGGGGTTTTTGGAATTTTGGAGTGACTTTTTCTTGTTCTCTGTGTAACGCGCCTGGACACTTCGCGAGAAATTTTGCAGGGAAACGGCTGTTAGCCTCAGTGAATGCGTCGCAATGCTCAGGCTTTGAAATCGTCGCTCCACCTCCAGTCGTACTCTAGCTTCAACTCGACAGCATTGGCTAATATCGGTGCCTCTCATGCTTTTATTCGAGTGAACTTGGTGAAATCCCTTTCTCTTCCATCTTTACAGTCTTCACTTGCAGTTCAAACGTCATTGACATTGGATGTAGTTAAAGTTCCTCATAAATACCAGTAACTTTCTCTTTCCGAGGTTCACAATACGCTTTGGGATTTTTTCCTCTACCTCATCTCTCTAAACTCTAACACCCCCACAGAACAAGCGCAGGTCACTGACCTACTCAATTATACAGCTGCTATTCACCAGTGGTCGGGGCACCGTGGACTCTTCCCTGAACACTTGGTCACTTTACCTGCTGCAGAACCAACTACCCCTGCTGAGCATTCTTTTTGACAGTTTCCCGAAAGAAATTTTCCGTTATGGCTCTCATTGACAAGTATTTGGAAACCGGTATTCTTGAACCGGCGGCTTCCCCATACAACGCACCAGCCTTCTTAACTGACAAGACTTGTTCAGGCCCAGATGTCCCTTGCAATAACAAGTAGCGCCTGTTGGAAGATTACCGGGGCCTCAAAAAGAGCAAGGTATCTTCCTACGGAGCAACCTCTCGGAACAAACTTACAGATACTGTACAACTAACGGTACAACTTACTCAATGGGAAGAAACCTTGAGTCTGGAGCTCTGGTGCGACTGGACTTGGAGCAGCGAAACGGCTGGAAATCAGCACTTCAACTTGAGCTATTGACCTGATCAGATGTCATGTTTTATTTTATTGTGCAGTTCTGTGATGTGATTGTCGTATGGTGGACTTAATGCCATAATTGTGACACATTGATGATTATTCTAAGGACTTCTTTATTGAAGTCTTGTCACAATATGGCAACGTCGGGTAGCAAGACTAGTTTATCGAAAGGAATTCAGTTCGGTTCTGCGTGGCTACAACGAAAGATTCACATACGACCTCAGAGAAGAGGGTGTCATGTTGTGACGGATGAAGTTCTGAAACAGGTGCCCGAACTATCAAACTTCGCTGTCGGAATGTGCCATATACAAAGTGAGTGGAGATGTTCTTGAAAATTTTGTTTGCTGTCCAGCTTGGAGAAAAAAATGGGATCGCATGATCCTTGAAATGAAGTACTGTACTGTAGTTGGATTTGATGTTAATTTTTGCGGTGGCACCAGCCCCAAGGTGCTCTGAGCTGTGACATTAAAAATGCCCTGTGTCTTTGGACTGGTTTTAATGAATGTCAATTTGTCCTTTGCAGTTCTTCACACTTCCGCTAGTCTGGCGTTGAACGAGAATTGGGACCCCGACGTTCGGTAAGCATTTGCATCATTTTGGATCTAAATAAGATGCTATCATCTAACCGTTCTTTTTCTCAGGGACGATATGGAAATGATGCTCAACAAGATCGTCCCTGAAGTAAGTAGCCAAGCTGAGATTTCATTTAAAATTTTTAAAATATCTGAACAATATCCTGTTTTCCAGGGAATGCCTTACAAGCACTCATGCGAAGGTCCCGATGACATGGTGATATACACTGCAGTTTCATAGGGAATGTTCCGGAATGATCTTGATGTTCTGTACATTTCAGCCTGCCCATGTGAAAGCTTGCTTCATGGGCTCATCCTTGACAATACCCGTGACTGAGGGAAAGCTCAATCTTGGAACATGGCAAGGAATCTGGTTGTGTGAACACCGGAATCACGCTGGCTCGCGGAAGCTAATAGTGACATTGTCCGGATGCCTGAAGGACGCCAGTGGAGGTCGGAGTCCCAACTCGCCAGGCCCAAGCACCTAGTGAAAATCGAAAGTTGCCTTTCGCTCCGAACAGAAAGTTCTCTCGTCTTTCCCCGTTTATTTTTTTGAGTCCCAGTCGTCGTTTTATTGAGCTTCTCCAATTTACGCGTGGGATTGGTCGACAAACTTTGGTGCCGTTGATGCTGCGATGGAGTCTACTCAACCCCAGATATCCTCACAACTGCCGAGAATTTTTGCATTCATTCAAATGAGCCCACGTATAGTGAAATCTGATTTGTAGCGTTCATCAGTTGTACCTTTGCTTTGAAATCATATGGTTTCTGACCCGTCCAATCTTGTATGGTTTTTGGTGACGTACCAGCCTTACGTAGTGGATTTTTCGGACCTTGCGATGTACGATTTGGGGATGAAGTGATACCATTGTGTCTCTGAGCACTCCTACCCCTTGTTAGGGTTTGAATCAAAACCAATTTTCCTGGATCACTGAGGAATGGAAAGCTACATAATTTGTTTGTTGTATCCATGCCCAAACTGCGTGGGAGAAGACGGGGGAGCGTCTTGTGATTTTTTGCGGGTTATATCCCTGATTCCTCGCCCGAATGGCAGAGTTCATGAAATTCGGCGTTGTCAAACCGCTGAAATTAAGAACATAAAATCATTTTCATACTTGTTGATGGATCGCTTCCATTCCTTGTGTCGAGATCCTAAGATCACTGCCATGAAGTCTGCTTCTTTTCGTGTGTGTGTGAATGTCGGTGCAATTGAAGTGGTTTGGAGCTTACGGAGATTGATGAGCGGTGATTGATTTTGCTTTTTGTTGACGCCTCTCGCTAGCGTGTCCCCGTCGAATACTGCGTATATCCGGAGGAATTTTCCACCATTGCCAATTCTTTGAGCTCGGGAACATTCCTGAAACTATTTTATTTTCTGCATTTCTGTACTCCGGTAGATTTCCAAATCTCCGTCGTTTCTTTTTTGAAGCCCATAAAAAAACGGCCATGAGTGTTTGAACTTCTCCTGCTATGCTGATTTCTAGTAATGGTGCTTCACCATATTGCTTGAGGTTTTTTTTTTTTTTTTTTTGAACTTGACACCTGCTACTGGGATGACTATTCGGATTCTCTTGAGTAATCACGTTTGTGTTGAAAACAATTTGCTCATTTTATGGAAATCTCTGCGATAGACTTCATAGACTTCAAAAGGGAGACTAGATTTGGTAGCGTTATGAGGAGCATTTCGTAATCGAGCATCATTTAAGAGTATAGTTGACCATAGCTCAGTGGTATCTCAGCTATTCCGCTTTTGAAGATCAATCCGCAGTCCCCAATCCCTCTGAATTTTCTTTATCTAAAAATCTAGCTTGGCAATGGATTCTAATGCTGTAATGCACCGGTGCATCTGATCACGCTCTTGCAAACTTCATTGGCAGCTTTGGTAGGAAAACATCCCTACGTAATATTTCTTTGCGTGAGAGATCCGCGGAGATAATTCAACAATTTTGTGAATGAAAAAGTTTGTACCATGATACTGTGGTTTTTGTATTTGCACTTGAATTTTGGTCTACCTGGAAGAAACAGTTGAATTTTCTCGCGACGCAGTTTGCTTTGAGTACCTGGGGCATTTTTTCTGAAATTCATGTTGACCGCCGCGTCGATTATTCTCCCATCTTAAAACCGCGTTTTTATGAATTTTCCCGTCTTGTAAGTTGATTCAAGTTGTTGTCACATCGAATTTTCATATCTAACCGGTGACCACTTGGAAGCGCATCGTCGTGAGGTTTGGTAAGACTTCCGGCTCCTCTTTTCAAGTCAAGATGCGTGGAAAACGGGAAGAGTTTTGCTCCGGTAAAGCACGGTGGAAATTGTTGCTCACGATTTTTTTTCTTGATTGCTTTGCGCCCAACTATAGCAGAGGTGCGACACGCGAAATGTTTTGTCTCTGTTGTTTTTGAGGTGATGTTTGATTAGTCTTCCAAAGAAAGAGAAAAACAAAAAAGAAGTTGAAGCAATAGGAAGTTGTCAAAATCATACCGCGTGGTTTTCTGTGTTTCAGCTTCCAGGTTTGTTCTTAGAACGTGGGCATTGAAGCGTTTTCCGTTTGCCGTGAGCTTTTTGAAGAACTGCGTGTTCTGCCAACTACGAGTCATGTTTTCTTTTGTTCCAAGTGCTTTTTCACTCGCCGTTTGAAGTTAGCACGCTGATCAGCTTTTTGGCTCACTATGAGCAGTTTAATTGGAGTAATTAGAGTTAATGACCACAACACAGCAAAGGCGACACCTGGAGAAGGCGCTCCAAGTGCAAATGCGCGCGCCTTCTCCAGGTAGCGCCTTTCGTCTCCTTTGTTCAGAGCTTCGTGGCATGTTGGTTGAGAATTAATAATTAAGTTGAAGCAATAGGAAGTTGTCAAAATCATACCGCGTGGTTTTCTGTGTTTCAGCTTCCAGGTTTGTTCTTAGAACATGGGCATTGAAGCGTTTTCCGTTTGCCGTGAGCTTTTTGAAGAACTGCGTGTTCTGCCAACTACGAGTCATGTTTACTTTTGTTCCAAGTGCTTTTTCACTCGCCGTTTGAAGTTAGCACGCTGATCTACGGCGCTTCCCTCGCATTCACAGCTTCCTTGACTGTGAAATAGGCTGCGGAATTTCTTTTGTTTTTTTTTTTTTAAGAACGCGTAAAATGAGTATGTTTTCCTAATTGCCCTGTCCCGTTCATGAATCGTGAAACCTTGGCTTCGAAGAGCGGAAGTGTTGCTTGGGTGCATAGCCTTTCTGCGTTCGCGGCGGCGATTAACATGCCTAAGGCGCTCCTCGAAGGGCGGGTCCGTTTGGTTGGCGCCTCTAGTTGGGAATTTTTTATTACTTGCTATCCACGTATTCAAAAATTATATTGTAATTTTTCAATTTAAGGGAAATTACTTGTTAGTAAACAAAGAATTATCTCTTTGATTGTTTCTGTATGGTCATTTGTTCAGAATCTGACTGTTGCATCTTGTGGGAAACGGTGGCCCCTCTTGAAGCTCATCTGCATGAACCCTGCCTTCTGCTGACTGCACCATGCTCATTTTTCGCGGAAAATTCTTGGGGATGGATCGAGCTCGCTAAGTTGTGCTTGTGGTGTGCGTTCTGTGATCCGGAATAATTCATGTGATGTTCTGCATTTGAATGTCCTCCTGGTGATGATAATTTTTTATTACTCTCTGGGTTTTCGCGGGCGAGAACTTTTAATTCACTAGATAACGAAGCATGAAGGAATGATGCAAAGCAAATAAGCTTCTTATGGATGGTGAAGCTTTGCCTGCCTTTTTGGTTTTACGGCTCTTCGACTTCCGTTTGAGACTTCTTGCGTTTCTCCAGCACCCTTTCCACAGTGAAGTCCGGCAGAGATAGGCCTGTCGAAGGGAGAGAAAGGAAGCAGAGGAAGATGCTGCTGTTGACCATTCAAAGACCCACCGTCAATGTTTGGCTGATCTCCCCTTGCCACAGTGAAAACGCCGTTGAGGTTCGATGCACTCTCAGCGTCGCTGATGAATTCCGCGCGTATTTTTTCAAGTGCTGTAGTGGAGTGCAGTGAGGTACGCATTTTTTTGATGGTGTTCCTGTTTGCCGTCACGTACCTTTTTTAAGGTCGAGCTGGTCAAGGTCCTTGTTAGAGAGCATATCCAACTTTTTCTTGAACTTATTTGATATTTTGCGGCAATGCGAATCGGCTTCAATCTCATGTTTTGTCCTTGGGATCCGGAACGGCGTGAAGCAGCAAATCAGAATCACTGTTGGGAGTACTGCAAAGATCAGGTTTGTTTCTTTTTTTGCATGCTCGGAATTAATCTCAGCTGGCCGTTACAGAGCGCTCCAAGTTTGTTAGTTTATTGTACTGTTCAGTAGAATCTCGTTACGACTAGGCGTTTTGGACCTGAAAACACGCATTATGAAAAAAATGTCGTTAAAACGAAATTAAAATAACATTAATGCTATTCCACTGGGACAGAAAAAAAAAAATTTATCGTAAGCATTAATTCTTCGTAAGGAGATTCGTTGTAACGAGATTCTACTGTACTGTAGTTCTTTTCAAGATTTTCTTTGCTGAAGATATCATCTATTGAACAAATCTTTCGCAAGAATGTCTTACGCTTATGGACAATTTGAGAAAATGCGAGAAAGATTAATGAAACCGGAGAAAAACTTAGCATTCAAAAAAACGTGAATTTGACTGCTCTTTTTGTTACCGACAGACAGCACTCCGCCGAGGGAAAGGAAGATGACGTGCCAAACTCGGAATTTCCAGATCAAAGTGCTCTCCATCCAGTCCCGACTGAAAGCTGTTTCTGGGATACCGATTTGTTCGCTGATATTGAAATCCTGGTGACTGTACCACGAGGAGTTGGTGTCGTCTATGAGCGACATGCCTGTGGAAAGTGCTGCACCGTTTTCCGGTGAGATTTCTTCATGATTCGTGTGCAAGTGAAAGTCGCGTGCGAACGAAATCCTTTTCTTTGAATTAAAAATCTTAGTTTGCACGCGAGATTCAAAAGCAGTATTAGTTCAGCGAGAATCCTTGCGTGGGATTCCAAATGTTGCGCAATTCTCTGGGCTTTCGTGCCGTGAGTGTTGCTCATTTGGCTAGGCGTAACGATGGAAAAAACCTGCTGGGAAATTTCCTCGCTTTCCTTCTCAGGTACAGTACAGTACTTGAAGGGGGTAAATGGTCGCGAGGGCTCTCACCTGTAGAGCGTTCTTGTCTCCTGCGCCTGAGAAAATGGGTGAAAAATTGAAGAAATCAGCGCAAGGAACTGTGCCCCGAAGCGTTATTTTAGCGCGCGGAGGAAGACTGAATCTGAACTGTTGGAATTCCCCTGCAAAAACTTTCTCGCTGTGTTTGCATAGCACGTCCACTTGCACTTCAGCAAATAAGAAATGAAATGCATGCATATACAGTGTGACCTAGCCCTGAGATACTTTGGGACTGTCGCCTTTTGTACGGATGCGCAACGCTGGCTGAAAGAATCCCTCCTCAGCTGGCTTCATGACATTGCCGGGCCCCACCCACGCATTTGAGCTTACGTATTCCTTGCTTTCTTTTTCTCCATCCTTGCAGGTTAAACTTGTTGGGGTGTGTGTGCTTTTTTCTGATCATACCAGGGATCTGGTTTTTTAGGGAGCTTGAGTTGATATTTCGCTGCCGCATTGCGTGATGTACGGACTGCCTTACAAGAATGCTTTTTTTGCGTGGGGAGCATACTAATGAGCGGAGGAACACTTCATATTTTTTCTGCGAATATCCCACGGATCAGTGTTATTCAGTCGCAGGCAACATACTTTTCTGGCCAGTTCTTCCGACTAAATCTGTTAGAATAAAGTATTTGATCGAAAGAAAATTTTTGTCGACTCATCTCAAAATTTTCCATTCTATAAATGACAACAAGCTGGGTATGCAGTGGGTTCTGTGTATAAAATCCTACGCAAGTAAGAAAAGCCGAACGACCTAACCTACACTAAATATTCCGAACCCTATGACGAATCCATGAATTATTTGAAAGCTTCAGAGGAATCTTCAAATTTCAAATTAATTTATATTGAAATATTTTTTTTTAATCTCCTGTAATTTTGTTCTTCCGCGCTGTTCAGTGTACTGTAGTACGCTACATTTGAATATTCGTATGGACTGCTGATAACGGTAAAATTTAAATTCCAGTATATTTCCTTTTTGACAGAAAGCATGTGAAATTTTTTGTCCGTGGCTTGAAAATCATTGATATTTTCAAGTTTGTAGAGATTAAAACGTGAAGCAGCCAACTAATTCGGGTGATGATGATCTTGAATTATTGCCGTGCCGTGTTGGAAGAGGCTTCTTTGAATTTGGTTTTCATGCATTAGTTTGCATCTCATCTTGCAAATGTTTCCATTAAAAGCGCCTTCAGTTTTTGGCGTTGTATACTAATAAGAAGAAAGGTGGATGCGGATGTGAGACAGGGAAGTGATGCTTACTCGTTTTACCACTCATGGAAGAAAGTTCATGTCATCATTCCCTGTTCTAGATTTCTGGGAATAAATGCAGTTATGACTTGCTTGAAGTTGTTTGAAAGAATCGAAAATTTTTTCGCATTTTTGTTAAATTTTAAATGTATTGAAAAATCGAAGTAATCGTCATCTTGCGTATTGCCGGACGAATCGTCAGTTTTATATTTTCATGAAAAAGATTTATCCTGGCCCTGACCGTTCTCAAAGCTGCGCTCGTTCCACTCCCGCGTTTACTTTTATCTTTTTATGTAGGGCGGCTTGAATTTGCTTGGGCAAGGACCCTCCGGATGCTGACCCATCTCATTCCGCGGTCCGATATGACCCGTTGCGTTAACCAGATATCCGTTCGGGTCGCGTAGCCTCGAGCGTCGACCGCCGTGGAGCTTGGCGCGGAGCCGTCGCGTTATTGCCTCGTTCCTCGCCCAGGTACGGCGGATGCTAACCTGGGTTAGATATCTCGGAAGGACCCGACCCCACCCTGGGTGGAACCCTGGATTCCATCACAGAGAGGAATTACTGTTTCTCCCTTTTTCCTGATACTGTACTACTACTACTCCTCGGAGGGTATATACGCCAGAACCTGTGCTGCCCGCGACCTGTTTGCTCGAAACCGCCACCCTTCCTTTCAAGCTCCGTCGGAATTAATGCCAGCGTCATGGTGTGATGCATGGCGAACACAGAAATGGGAAGGGCTGGGGTCCATGCCTGGACTGCATTATCTGGCATTCTGTGCCTCTTTTTTCAGTTTGCAAAAAAAAACTATGCCGGGCATTTTTTGTTTTTCATGTAGTCACTGGAAGAGTGGTCATCAGTCATTTCCTGTCCCTTCTGCGAGCTACGAATCCATTCCTCCTTTGTGGCTTCCGTTGAAGGACGATAGGTCTACAAATACTGCATGACAGAGCTGCTGAGATTGTAAGCTCGGGGTTCTTAAAAAAAAATAAAGTATATTTTTGGACACTGAAAATCTATTGAAAACTTATTTTCGCCGGATTAAAGAAATACTTACAAAACTGAAAAACTGCTGACGTACTGCAGAGTGATTTACTCGCTACTCTGTCCATAATAGCATTTGTACAACATACATCTTTAGGACGTGAACCAATTCAAGAAAAGCAGCAAATCCGGAATTATCTAAATACTTGTGGACTCTGTATACAACGAAATTCAAGGGACCAGAAAAATGTCACTATAGAGAACCCTTATAATATGGGGGAAGTACTGTACTATGTAGGACCAAAGAATCGTTATACTGTGTAGAGAAAATCATTTTAGACGAGGTCGTTGTACCGACCGGCACCCAAAGTGAAATCAAGAGAACAGAAACAATTCGTTTTAGGGAAAATTTCCTGGGAAAGAACCCCTTTATGCCTATTACATGGGGAGAGAACATGATCAGACAAAAATCTTTGCACGGAGAAAGTCATTGCAGACCGTAGAGGGAATTCACCTGTAACAGCATGTGATGAGAGAAAGGGGAAGGTCACCCGTTGGACGTGTAGCGAAAGAATAGTGTATATACAGTATCAAGTTCGTACGAGACCTGAAATCATGACATTCTTTCCTCGGGAAGTTGACACAATGTAGAAGAAGGAGGAGCAACCCTGACATCACGCGGGCAACAGCAAACTTTTGAAGCTTGAAGAAAGACTAAGTTAACATTTTCTCAGTGGGACTTTTCCATCCTCCCCGTGGAAGTGCGAGGCTCAAATCCATGTCTGATGATGGTACGGTTTTCCTTGCGAAGAAATTATCGTCTCAAAAGTTTTCTGTACTCTGTCATGCCAAAATTTTTACGTCTCTTTCGCCTCACGGTGAAAATCATTTCCCGCTGAGTCCGAAAGCACTCCGAATTTTTATACATTTATTCAACCGGAAAAAATAAAGCGATCCGAGTACAGTACAGTATAATATTACTAATCCGCAAGAAT